TGGAGTTTCACTAATTAAAAAAAATTATGTTATTTAAAGAATCTTATCTGTAGTGAATCCTTTCACAAAGCAAACATTCTCTGCAGTTTAAGCTTCATTTAACACAGTTCCTTCCTTCCTCTTGAAAAACGTAGCTTGTCTGTATGCAGTTCATAGCTAACTGTGGTTCCTAACCCCTTCCTTGTCCTGTAGGTAACAATTATTAATGTATCCTGGAATTCTATTTTAGGGGTTTCCTCTTCTCACTCCTTCCATTAGATTGCTCTTTCCCTATTCTACTGAAATAATTTCAAGTATAGTTTCTTCTCTTCAGAGTGGTAAGTAGCATTTCCTCCAGGCCAGCACAGTCTGCATCTTTCATCTCTTCTGAATGGCTGCTGGGATTTGTGCAGTCCCCTTGAGCCAGGAGAAGGCTGTGATTTCCAATTTATATCCCCCCTATTTTACTGACAAAAATTATGAGATAGAGTAGCTAAAAGTTAGAGGTGATAAGAAAGGATATCACTTCTGTGATATTTGATTGCTTTTATGTTATTGTCTTCTCTCTGTATTTGATCAAATTTGATTCATTGAGATATTCCATCAACTTCTTGTCCTCTATTTTATTATGAAAAGGGTAAGATAAGTTCCCAAAGTAGACTTGTCTAGCTATTATCTCAATTCCCTGTGGGGAATTGTAATGAAGAGATCTGTGAATTTGTGCCATGCAGTAGCACCAACTTTGTATAAATTATATTGATGATCTATGATGATCTTGTGTTGTCACTGAACTGTCTGGTTTTTGCACAATAGTACCCAGACTTTAAGCTACATTAAGGTGTGGAGAGAAGGAGACATTCAAAATTCCTTTGAAAAAGGAATTATATTTTTAAAAAAGACAGATAACAAATATAATCAGATATCATTTATCCTTCTAAAGTAGAAACTTGAAGATAACATTATTGAATATAAAAGAAAAAAATGAGAGAAACCATTAAATGAGAGAAAACAATCTCTTCCAAGATGAATGACCCAGTGGTTTGCCACAACTTCTTTGTGCCTTAATGCAGATATGAATGAAAATATTTATTGACCAATTGATCTGATACCTAGGATAGACTTCTAAGAACTCCACTGAAGCTGTGTAGAGGTAGAAATGACTATGTGATGAATAAAATTGGTGGGTCTGGGATTTGGCTTAGTATGAGAACATTTGCCATTTGCTTGTGTGAGACCTAGGGTTTAATTACAGGGATCATATACACGCACACAAAAAAAAAAAAAGAAAGAAAGAAACAAAGAAAAAAAGAAAGAGTGCCCAACAATTATTAGTGAAGCTGAACTGTACATTACATGAAATGTACACTACAATTATCTCTTTTTATATTTTTCATAATACTTTTAGATAATAAGTCAAGTAACTTGAAGTAAGTTGGACAAAATTTTAGAATATAAATAAAGAAAATTCAAATAATACAAACTAGAATTTATTACTACAAAGGCAAAATATAAATTAACAAAAGTATGGAAAAACTGGCAAATAAAATATTTGAATTCAAAATAAAATAAAAGCAATTTTAAGTAATGCCTGGAAAAAAAATAAATGTCACAAAAGTCGACTACTAAATATTGGTGAAATTATAGAAATGGCAGTAATACATGTCAAAATTTTCTGGAATTTGATCAAGTCCTTACCTAAAGAAAAATTAGTATAGTTTCAAACTGCTTGAGAGAAGAGATTGAAAATAAGTGAATTAAGTCAGTGAATGTAACCTACCAAATATAACCTGCCCACACGGCAGAGTCTGGCAAACTCCCCGTGGTGTACCCAATATGCCAAATACTAGTAACAATGATAGGTCTCATTCACCTAACCCTGAAAGGGCCTTTAATATGGCACTTTTAAAAATTATTTCAGGGCTAGGATGAAGGAGACGTTACTGGGGCCTGCTCGAGGTAATCGAAGAACAACAAGATGGTTGTGATCGTGAAGTCAGTGAAATAATCAAAAAAACAACAAAACATAGTTTAACAACAGAAAGCCTTTAGGAAACTACATGCACTGTAGCATTGTAGCACTGTCCTCCTGTTGTTCATCGATTTGCTCAAATGGTCACCAGTAATGTCTCCTAACAAATTGTGAGACTAGGAAACTATTTGCAAATCAATAAATTAAAGAAAAATGCAAATTATGGTTGATGCTAGAAAAGTAACTTCAACTCTTACACTCAGTGAATGTTTGTTTCTTTGTTTGTTTTTGAGTCACATCTAGAAGTGCTCAAGGTTCCCTCGGAGCTCTGTTCTTAGGGTTCACTCCTGGCAGAACTCAGAGAATCATATCCGATGCCAGGGATGGAAACTTGGTCAGCTGCATGCAAGACTAGGACTCACTTGCTGTACTCTCTCCACCTAGACCCTAGACTCACAAATGTTTTAGAAAAATGTTAATTACAACAATTGACCCAAGACAAAACAGAAGCAATTTTTAAAATATTTGAAGATCCTAATTCTCCTACCAGTATTTATAGGTTACTCATGTCCAAGTTTGAATTGTAAAAGTACATTGATACTTAAACTTATCTTGGGGCTGGAGCAATAGCACAGCAGGTAGGGCGTTTGCCTTGCACACGGCTGACCTGAGTTCGATTCCCAGCATCCCTTATGGTCCCCTGAGCGCCGCCAGGAGTAATTTCTAGTGCAGAGCCAGGAATAACCCCTGTGCATTGCCGGGTGTGACCCAAAAAGAAAAAAATAAAATAAAACTTGAGTACAAAAAATTACAATAAATTTTATAGTTTATTTTATTCCTGGAGTAAGTTATATGTATAAAATTATTAAGCTATTAAAAAATTATAAAGAGCATCTCACTAACGAATATGGATAGGAAATCCAAGACAAACTATGAATAAAAGCTAGGACTGTATCAAAACAACATATAACATGACTAAAGAAGCTCATTCAAGGAATAAAAATAATAGCAATAAAAATAATTTTTAAATTTTAGTCTTCTTATCCATAGATCAAGGACCAAAATACATATAACCATTGTACTAAATTTTCAAAATATTTATATTCTAATATAAATTTGAGCTATATAATATATATGTATATATGTATATATGTTTGAATAGTGTGTTTAATGGTAACACATTTAAGGAAGTAAATCTATTTTATATCTCCTAGTCACATTTGTGATCAGCTCAGAGATGGATCAGTTTCCAGTAGATATTGCTTGAACTAATATCTAATCCAGTAAGATTCAGTGAGTTTTCTTTTACAAAATGACAGAGGAACCTAACTTATACAGGAATAAATGAAAAAAATAATAAATAATAATAATAATAAATAATAATAAATGAAAAGAAAAGAATCAACAATAATATTTTGAACAACAGAGTCAGAATTTGGAATATATTAAAATATTCTTTAATGTAATAATAGTAATATGATAATTAGGCCAACATAGGGAACTGAGATAATTAGATATTAAATAGATATAGAGAACCAAGACAATTAAATAATTTGATAAAAGGTGAATTACTGAATTTTTGTGTATTACAGAAAAAAATTTTCTGTAATATGCTAAAATGGATATTAAATAAAATTTCTTCATAAGGAAACTACAGGAAGAGATCAAGTTATTTGTTTATTTTAATTTTTTTATTTTATAAGGTAGTTCACAATATTTGATTACATTTATTATTCAAACACCAATCCCACCACCAAATTTGGGATGTTTCCATCTCATGCCCTGATCCATATCCCAGAGCACAACTGAAATAATATATTTTGTGTTTTTTTTACGAAGAACTGCTGAAAATGCTTACAAAAAGTATTCATATAGAAAACAGTGTGAAGATTGTTCTATTTTGGCAAGGGACATTAAGACATTCTTTAGGATATCACTAACATGTTGTTAAAGGTTGAGTGATGTGAGCTTTCAAGTATATATATATAAATATGTATATATGCATATATATATTTCCCTCTATGATTTGTTGCCTATTATCTGGACCCCATCAAATGTGGTGCAGTACTTATGGAGTGGGCTGGAGCGATAGCACAGCGGGTAGGGTGTTTCAGCCTACATGGCCCAGCTGAGTTCGATTCCTCCGCCCCTCTCGGAGAACCTGGCAAGCTACTGAGAATATCTTTACCACCTGAGAGTATCTTTGCCACGGCAAAGCCTGACAAGCTACCCATGACGTATTCGATATGCCAAACACAGTAACAAGTCTCACAATGTTACTGGGCCTGCTCAAGCAAATCGATGAATAATGGGAGGACAGTTACAGTGACTTATGGAAAAGGGTAGGGAGTACCTTATGACGTGTCATACAGTTGTGAATACGGCCTGGTGGTCCTAGAATATGTTCACTCCTTCGTGAGACTCAGGCTGAACCTGTGGGGAGCGACTTTGAGCATGGCAGCGGTTGGGTTCTAGAGGTTCTTCAGCTGCTGGGCTGGCAGAGCTGGGTCCCTTGGGGTTGGGAGGGCTCTCACTCGCCCCTCTCTGGTGTACCCGGAGTGAAACAGCCTGGAGCAGAGTCTAGTGGCTTGGAAGAATGGCTATGGCAAGCTTCATGTTATGCTTCCTTCCGGGAGAAAGAGCCGTGTGATTTGTCAAGTTATTTAAGTACTCAGTGTCACTGTGTCTATCATAGTACTCTAATTTACCACAAGGAGTCGATTAAAGTTGTTTAGCATTGTGGACTAACACTACTAAGTAAAAATTAGGTATTGCATATACAGTACCAAGAACTTTTCAAAGTTCCAACTCTAATTATCGCCCTGATGAGGTCCATAGCATTACTTTCCATCAACTACAGGAGGAAACAGTGGTGCAGAGAACATATGAGTGCATCTTCTTTGCGGTCACACGCCAAGCATAGAGTGCAACCTGCACAGACACAGGGCAGACTGGATCCAGAATCCGATTACAGTTCCTCACTAGAGTCAAAGGGATTCGTGTGAATCAGAGGAAGCTGCTGTATCTCTCACTTCCCTCTTGCCCTTCGCAGGGACCTGATGCCCAGGAGCCTGGACGGACAGATCACCATGGAGAAGACGCCCAGCTACTTCATCACCCGGGAGGTGCCAGCCCGCATCTCGGCCATGGCCAGAGACACCAAGCTCCTCGTGGTGGTGCGGGACCCAGTGACCAGGGCCATCTCGGACTACACGCAGACGCTCTCCAAGAGGCCTGACGTCCCCAGCTTCGAGAGCCTGACGTTCCGGAACAGGACCGCGGGCCTCATCGACGCATCCTGGAGCGCCATCCAGATTGGCATCTATGCCAAGCACCTGGAGCGCTGGCTGCGCCACTTTCCGCTGGCTCAGATGCTCTTTGTCAGCGGGGAGCGGCTCATCAGCGACCCGGCGGGTGAGCTGGGCCACGTCCAGGACTTCCTGGGCCTCAAGAGGATCATCACCCACGAGCACTTCTACTTCAACAAGACCAAGGGCTTCCCGTGCCTGAAGAAGGCGGAGGGCAGCGGCAGACCCCACTGCCTGGGCAAGACCAAGGGGAGGACCCACCCGGAGATGGACCAGGAGGTGGTGCAGAGGCTGCGTGAGTTCTACCGGCCATTCAACCTCAAGTTCTACCAGATGACTGGCCGTGACTTTGGCTGGGATGGATAGCAAAATAATTTAAGAAGAAAAGTGTTGAAATATAATATATTTTTTATCAACAGGTAGCAACAAAGCAGTTTAATATTTGTGCTGGAAATATTTTAGTATGTGTTTGATGAATGTTAAGAGATTGTTCTCACCCCTGTCTCCATCATAATATGTATGTAATTTAGACCAACATTTGAGTAAGGAAAGAAAACTTAATCTAAATAACTTTTATTTTCTATTTTATGTAATTTACTAGGAAAATTCTGAGAGAAAATCAGTTGCTCTCTCTTTTGCTCCCTCTCCCGTACCTGAAAGGGTTCAGAAAAACTGATGTTAACTTAATTTTTCTCTTTTCTCCCAGTGTCATGGTTTATTAAACCATGTCCTATTTCCCAATTCATATATATATATATGTATTTATAATCACGAATCTAGTGTTGTAAGGCATTTTTTTCCCATTCTCATTCTACCAAGTGGACTATAACCACAGTGCACAGAAATTATGGTCCTTATTTTGTAGTAAGAAAATGGAGTCTCAGGAAAGTTAAATGGTTTCTCTTAAGGCCATATATTGAACCCTGAATAAACCTGATTTCCTCTTGTTCCCTATTTTAAACCACTTTTTTGTTTCACTGTGGAAGGGGAAATGCATCTCTACTTTTAGAAATGGTTAGGTATTTGGAGATTGATCTAAGGTAGCCCTTAAATTCTACTGTTGCTTTTTTAACTTCCAGGCTAGTCTTAGAATACACAGCCGTAGGAGTTCCACGTACTCAGAGGAGTCCCTCAGACATGGGTGCAGCACCTCTTACGAACTAATTGAACTACACTACATAGACTTGGTAAAAGTTGAGCACAGTTATTGGATTCTTTTAGTGAGACCAAGATGGACAGTTAACTAGGAAAAAAACAGATGTGGGTGGCACATAAATTACCAATTAGTTGTTTTTAAATTTTTATGTTTTTAAACAAAATCTAGTAATAACCTGCAATATTAATCTTATATTTCTTCCCTTGGTACTAGCATTAAAAAATATCAAAACTAACTATAGAAATGATTGCTGAAAGTATAGTATAGATTTAATAAAAAATACCAAAACAGAATATTTATAATGACCTTATTCTTTAGGGGGTATCAATGCCACTTTGTCATTTTATTTACCCCCTCTCATTATTATTTGGAAAATATTTCAAGAAATGCAGACATGTGCAAAATGTATTTTCCCATTTCTTGCATCAGTTTCTACCCATTCTTCACTTAAATAGCTTAAATAAATTTGTAGTTTATTAGGAATATCCTTTTCCTCTGAATGGGCATTAACAAGATTAACATGAATGGGAATTTAATTGGTTTAGAGAACACATATGCATGAAATTATAAAACATTTATAATTAATCTATCAGCAACATTTTATTATAGGTTTAAAGCCATGGAAGTTTTCTATATTAGCAAAAATTTAAAGTACTAGACACAAGTTTTCCAAAATATATTCTTTTTATTCTTAAATGTTATCATTCAACAGAAACAGTTTAAAATACACAGTATATAGGACTGTAGAATACATAAATAAACACAGTACCTTAACTCTAGTAAAAATAAATCAATATCATACTGTTGTACATTTTCTATGAATACTCCATCAAGTGAACTAAATATTTCTTGAGTACCATAGCGCAAGAAGAAATCATTTGAATTTCAAGAGAGTTTAGTATTATTCCAATTTTTAAAAAATATTTTAAACCCCTTCTATGAAATCAAGTAAATCTCAAGTGCAAATACTCTTTTTTGGTTGATTTCACTCATTTATGTGATCACAACAGGTTATCATTTTCAGTTATAATACATTATTTTCTAACGTGTTGCCTTTTCTCTCAACTCATTTTGTTTGTGTTTCTGATTCTCTTTAAAGTTTTTGCTTTGTATCATGAGGATGTGACTTGTACAAGGAAATAAGTGCCTTTAAAACATGTACCAAACAAACTTATTTTTGTGTGTTAAAAAATAAATACAGAGGTTCTTTTCTTCATACAGTTATGTTTTTGGTTAGTATTATCTAAAAAAATAATCAAGTACTACAGAGATCTCTAGGAGATCATTTAACTTCTAAGAATTTATAAGAGTATCAGGAGTTCAGATTCCATGAAAATGTATAAAGATCTGGAAGCCAGTGTATTTTGTTTCCTCTAAAACAGAAAATTCTAGTTTTGCCCTTAAGTGTTACTTTCTTCTTGTCCTGGGATTTCTCTTGTCCACTTCTTTTAGCTATACCAAATGCTAAGTTTTGCTCTTCTCTTGAATGTGTTTTGCCACTTCCATTCTTCCTCAAGAAGAGGAAGATGAAATTTGTCAATTTCATGGCCATGCCAGCTAACATCTTTGACTCTTTCCAGAAGTTAGGAAGTGTCTCCAGAACCATCAGAGATCTACAATTCATTCTAAGGAGTTTTCTTTGAGGCTATTTCTATCAGGTATAACATTTCTAGTAATAGTAAATTTTAAGCAAAATTATTTGAAGGAAATTTAAGCTAAATTAATAACTGCAGATTAATAAAGTCTAATAAAGTCTAGAGAATGGATATTTATTGTAATAAAAATATTAATAACACTGTAATGTTCATAAATTTTCAAAGTTGGAAAAACCCAAATGATAATTTGAATCAAGTTCCCTTTGCCATTTAACTGTTATTCTTTAGCTGGTTATGAAGGGCTTAAATCATTGAATTGTCTTCAAATATTTTAACTCATAACTTCTCAGTTATAAAGAGGATAAATTTATTCTGAAAGCAGCTATCCTGTTAACTGAGATGTCAAAGCAGTTGCCCAGGAAGATAACAAAATTCATTCTAATTAAGTAAGTGCCTCTACAAAAAATAAGTCATTTCATTATAGTAGATTGCCCTTTAAAATGCAGCTTTTCAACTTCAACCAAAGATCTCCTCTCTCATTTACTTCCACTTTACAGATGAATGAACTGATATTTAAAACACTAGTGCTCAATAAAAAATTCAGTTAGAATTCAGAGTGATATTTGCAGATACTTTGGTTGTCCCAATGATGTGCAAATATAGAATGATCATGTGGGAAAATATCAGAGCTGCTGCTAGATCTGCTGTCACAAAGAAGAGCCTGCATGACAAAGTATTATTCACCAAACCACTAACAATTCTGAGATCCCTGACTTAAGAAAGTTACTCACACCAGTATACATCTAAACCAGATTTAAAAGCCAAATTCTAATAAATACTAGGCTAATTCTGTCATTTATCATTCTAGGTTTTCTTTTGGAGACTTTTCTTTGTTAAGTAACTCCATCAGAGCCAGGAAATCAATGCCCCATGTTTGGTTTTGCCAAAAGGAGAGCTAAAGAGAAACATCACTGAACTGGGTTTCCAAACAATTGAGATACAGGAGCAGCTTGTAACTAATGGATAATTGCATTTGTGAAATAGAATCAATTGGTCAGGTAAAAACATAACCTCCCAATAAAACATTTATTAAAGGCCTTTTTCTAGTCTTGTGGTTTCAATTTGCTTCTGTGATAACACTGACAACATTATTTTTTTAAACCACTGGATACAACCTTAGTGTCAGAGAGAAAAATAAATAGGTTTACTTTTAGTAAGCAGCTGATTTCAGATAGTTAAGTTTACAAGTGGCTCCACGTTGCTAAAGGAAAGCAAATTTTTCAAGTTATTTTTTCTGGAACCCTGTAAAATTGTATTTAATTTCCATCAAATCAGAAAAGAGAACTATTATGGCTCCCAAATATATAAAAGTGTGGCTCAGAATTGATCCAATGAAAGTATTTAATAATTAAAGATATAACTATTTGCTTTTCAACAACCCCATAATTCTTAAAGAAGAAAGGCTTTAAAACCCTACGTTCTTCTTTTTTTTTAATTTTTTTAAAAATTTTTATTAGTGAAACAGCATGACTCACAAATTTTTGTGCTTGGGTTTCAGTTATACAATTATCGAGTTTCAGTGAAATGGTATCACCCTGCAGAACCCCTCTCTTGACGTCGATGATCATTTCCTTGTATAATGGTGAGATCCTGGTAGTGAATCCAGAATACAGCTCATGGAGGATCCTGATGTATTGACTTTGAACGCCCTATTTGGCTAGGGCTTCGATGACCACTTCAGTCTCAACAGAATCAAAGGCCTTCTTTTTTTTTAGAAATTTTTATTAGTGAGACACTATGAGGTACAGTTGTAGACTTAAATATTTTTGTGCTTGGGTTTCAGTTATACAATGATCAAATACCCATCCCTCCACCAGTGCCCATTTTCCACCACCATGGATCCCAATATCCCTCCCACCCCTACCCCCCTATCCCACCCTGCCTCTGTGGCAGGGCATTCCCTTTTGTTCTCTCTCTCCTTTTGGGTGTTGTGGTTTGCAAAAGGCAATGGGTGGCAGTCATTTTTGTTCTATAGTCTACTTTCAGCATGCTTCTCTCATCCTGGGAGGATCTTTAAATCCATAAGATTAGACAGAGAGGCATCTTGAACTCCCGAGAAATCTCAATGAGCTTAGTTACTGTGTGGATATGGTCGACTGTACTGAATCTTTTTCAGAACCCGGCTTGCTCGCATGGCTGTCCTTCATCTAGTGTTCTGCCAATACTATTCAGAATGACTCGAGTAGACAGCTTGTAGACAACAGACAACAGACAGATTGGGCGATAGTTGCTAATGTCGTCAATGTCTCCTTTCTTGTGAAGTAGAACGGTCCTGCTGGTTTTCCACTGGGAACCTTCCATTCAGACAGGTAGTATGTGAAGAGCTGAGTCAGTGTATTGATGAGTACTGACAGCAGATTCTTCAGGTGTTCAGGTCTGACCTTGTCTGGGCCGGGGGCTGTTCGCTTCTTTACTGACTAAATGCCATGTCAGATTTTGGAAAGGAGAACTTTGGGAACAACATATCCATCCTGCAGCCACATCCAAACTGTGTGGGCAGGTGGACGTGGCTATCGAAGAGATCCGAGTAGAAGTTATGGATAATCTTCTCCATT